TCAACACGTGGAATGAACTAAGAGAAGCTGTGGAAGCCACCTCCATCCTCGACTAAGAATTTGACCGTCAAGATAGTTCAGTTGTAATGTTACAGGTACAGCAAGGCTAATAGGCAGAGCATGTATAGACCTAGACACTCACACACACACACACACACAAACACTTGTATACATATGAAACTTAATTATGTATGAAACTGAATAACTTTCACCTTAAAGAGAACTATTACACACACACACACACACACAATGGGGGCCTCGTAGCCTGGTGGATAGCGCGCAGGACTCGTAATTCTGTGGTGCGGGTTCGATTCCCGCACGAGGCAGAAACAAATGGGCAAAGTTTCACCCTAAGTGCCCCTGTTACCTAGCAGTAAATAGGTACCTGGGAGTTAGTCAGCTGTCACGGGCTGCTTCCTGGGGTGTGTGTGTGTGTGTGGTGTGGAAAAAAAAAATAAGTAGTTAGTAAACAGTTGATTGACAGTTGAGAGGCGGGCCGAAAGAGCAAAGCTCAACCCCCGCAAACACAACTAGGTGAGCACACACACACACACACACACACACACACACACACACACACACACACACACACACACACACACACACACACACACACACACACACACATATATATATATATCGGGTGTTGGGGAGTTGTGAATTATATTGGAAAATCAAGTTATATGTGACCTGTTTACCGTTGAGTTATATATAAGTCTCTATATAAGTCTCTGGGAAGGAATATTACATTTCTTCCCTGGAGAGTTATTACTCTGGGTGGCACCTTGACATGGCACCAGGCACTGTGCCATATGACACCTCTTCTTGCCATCTGGTTTTCCTCTCATCTTATCTTTTATATTTCTCGTCTCCCGTCTTTCATTAATCTTAACTTACTTTCTCACACCCTATATATACATATATATATATATATATATACATATATATATATATATTATATATATATATATATATATGTATATATATATATATATATATATATATATATATATATATATATATATATATATATATATATATATGTCGTACCTAGTAGCCAGAACTCACTTCTCAGCCTACTATCAAGGCCCGATTTGCCTAATAAGCCAAGTTTTCCTGAATTAATATATTTTCTCTATTTTTTTTCTTATGAAATGATAAAGCTACCCATTTCATTATGTATGAGGTCAATTTTTTTTTATTGGAGTTAAAATTAACGTAGATATATGACCGAACCTAACCCACCCTACCTAACCTAACCTAACCTATCTTTATAGGTTAGGTTAGGTTAGGTAGCCGAAAAGTTAGGTTAGGTAGGTTAGGTAGTCGAAAAACAATTAATTCATAAAAACTTGGCTTATTAGGCAAATCGGGCCTTGCATAATAGGCTGAGAAGTGCGTTCTGGCTACTAGGTACGACATATATATATATATATATATATATATATATATATATATATATATATATATATTTATATATATATTTATATATATATTTATATATATATTTCACTAAGAACTCTAATGACCCCACCAGGATTCGAACCCATGACGTTCAGGATCACTCCTAAACGTACACAGTAGGGTGACCACCACACCTTGTGTATATATATAACTCTGGAGTAACAATTTAAAGAGCTTTTAGATACTTAGAGATATACCAATTGATATACAAATAGATATAATGGTAAACAGTTTGTTTACCATTATATCTATGCCAAAAGACATATATTTGAGTAGTTGTTTGCTGTAAACACTGTACTTAAGAGAAAAGTGTCCTCTGTGAATTACTCAAGAGAAAAGTGTCCTCTGTGAATTAGGATATCCAGGTATCAAATTTAGTCTCTCAGGATGGATAAATCTCTCTTATCTGATGGATAAGATGTCCTTAGCAGACGGATATAGGCAGGATTTTGAACTTTGCCATCAGTCAACGTTAGAAGCCAAGGGGCCAGATTCACGAAAGCACTTACGAACCTGTCCATCTTTTCTCAATCTTTGGCGGCTTTGTTTACAGTTATTAAACAGTTAATGAGCTCCGAAGCACCAGGAGGCTGTTTATAACAATAACAACAGTTGATTGGCAAGTTTTCATGCTTGTAAACTGTTTAATAAATGTAACCAAAGCCGTCAAAGATTGAGGAAAGATGTACACGTTCGTAACTCCTTTCATGAATCTGGCCCCAAGACCCCTCGTAACTCCCCTCCCCCTCTCCTCTTGGGGGAGTGGGAGAGTGGGAAGGGAGGTGGGATGGGAGGGAGAGTAGAAGGAAGAGGGGGGGGGAGGGGAAGGGAAGGGAAGGGAAGGGAAGGGAAAGGAGACAGTATCGACTCTTTGTCTTCCTTTCATCTGCATTACTGCCATATTTCCATCTTCTTCTCTTCATCTCTCCAGTTATTCACCCTTTCTTCAGCCCCCCCTTCCAACATTCCTCCCTCCTGCCTGGGTCGTACTGCTTGAATGATGAGTAAGGCATGATGGGTGATGAGTCAATTGGGTGTGGGGGAGAACGGGGGGAGTAA